AAATCAAAAACTTTGAATAACCTATGTTTATTGTATACAAAAACAGTTATTTTCATTCAACCTGGGACAAAAAAAAATTAAAAATAATTTATAAATAAATTTAAAATTTGCATTCTAAAATCACAACGGATTCGTTATTTCATTATATGAATTATAACTTTACTATCTAAGAATAATTTAATAAGCTGATAAAGTGTATCTATATTGAGAATACGTTATTAATTTTTTTTCCAAAATAATAACATACTGTTTTCCATGAAATGTAATAATTCAAAATAGTAGCAAAACAAACATGTTGATTATTGTTTCATTAATGATCTAAAAAATATTGAATTTATTGAAGTTGTATCTTGGATAACATTGAACTTGATAATAAGCCAATACATTTTTTAATATAAGTATTAGTATTGGATATTAAAATTAGTCAAATACCTTATGTATAAGCAATATAATTTATAATACTAATTATTGCCATAAATAATCAATATTAATAATTATTATCCTTAATTGATATATTTATACATAAAATCATATTTTGTATATGAAATGCGCGTTACATTCGGTTAGAGAAATATGTTGTAACAATAGAACTCATTGAAATACAGGTAACTAGAGAAGTTAAAATACGGTATTTTTTTATTTTTTGTATTATACCAGTATTATACCGTATAGAACCTTGCAGTATCTTAAATTATAAGGAATTTAACAAAGGTTATAACCCTATTGTTAATTATGAAATATAAATTATTTTAAAATGGAATAATTGAAACAAATGGCTAAAAACTTAGAAAAAATTAAAAAAACACATAATACAAGAATTATTCACCAAATTAATATTTAGTCATGCTATCGATTTGCAATTATGATATAGGTAACATACGTTATATACGTTATATTACGTTTTATACATAGAAATATATATTTTTTAAATAGAAATAAAGATAAAACTATACTTAATACTTTTAGAGTTGTATACTATCTCATTGTACCTATATATTTACAATATTTGAATACTATATTAGTACAATAAATTGACTTCAGGGGCGGATCCAGAGGGGAGCGAATGGAGCGATCGCCCTCCCCCATTCACCGTAGCAGACTTTAGTTTTTGACGTAATTACTTCAAGGGTAAATAGGGAAATCTTAAACTATTTTTTTTATACCAAACTTATGCTGGTACAATGTTATCACTTATATTTATTATTTTGTGATTTACTGATATCACAGTTATATATTACTACATGGTTTAAGATATACAGGTTAGCTATCGTATATCTAAATTGCATTGATAGCTGACGGTCAGAATGTGTTACGGGTTTAGTACACATTTTCGCCACATCTCTAAAGCGTTAGTAATATGTAGTGCTATATTATTACAGTAGTTATATGAAAAATTCAAATAGTTTACCAGAAGCTAAGCTTATTAATTTAAAATCAAAATGTGGATTAACCCATCAAAATTTACATTTATTTCAATTTCTATATATAGTAGAAGAGTGCTTTGCAGATCACTGCACACAAAAAAACGTATTTTATCTAAGATTTGAAGATGCATTAAATATTTCTTTTACATTTCCTTGCTTTGAACAAATAATATAATCATATCTATTCTGATACATTTCATTAAAATGTGAATGCGCCACTTTGCAGTTTAAGATTATCGCCAAGAAATTTAAGAGTAAACAAAAGAAAAAAAATAGTCTTACTAATCTCAACTTAAATAATACAAATTTTTGTTTATTTTTTTATTAATATATTGTTTGTTATGTTGTTTGACTACATTATTTAAAAATATTATTAATTTATTTAGATATTTAATTTTAATTCGTACAGACAATTTTCCTGTCATGTCAATGTTTAAATGCTAGGAATCACTTATTTTATTAATATTGAAAATAAACTCATTTTGTCAAATTTTGAGATACGCACTGTTGCAGTTTAAATGACGATATCAAAATTAATATTTTTAATTTTAACTATAGCATGTGTGTCAATTAAAAATCCCCCATCCCCTCCCCCCATTATCATGGTCTGGATCCGCCCCTGATTGATTATATTAATTTTTAACACCTGAATTCTAAATTAACACGATTACAATAATATTGTACCTATATTTTTAATTTTTATAATAATACTGTACTTTATTGGAGATCCATTCTATAAGTACAAATAAAAAATTAATAGTTGATACTAAAAATAACTAAAACTAACGATTAGATTTTTTTTTTTTTTTTTATACTGTCTGTATAAAATAATTTTATACCATATGTATAATACCTTGTATAATACATTTTATACCACTGTATTAATATAAACTCACATCATTAGAAATAACTATAATAATTATAAACATTTGTGATTGATTTTATTTTTATGTTGATTTCTACAAGTATAATATTATAATAAATATGTGAAAACAAACCAAATGTATTTAATATTTTTTAATTAATCGTATCCATTGTAGAATATAAAAAAAATAATTGTAAAAATAAATACTTTTATTAAAATATTGAAAACTTTAAAAGGTTTTTTATTTAACTTAAATTGTTCTTTTATGTATTTCTATACGGTCAGTTATAATTTCAAATCATATTTGACCTTTTTATCATATTTCTAAGTAAGTTTGGATTTCATTTATCAATTTAAAGAGTTCAAGTTTTTAAAATTGTTGAATTTTATGATTATGTAATCCTTGTTGAATTACTTCAAGCATAACTCATCACTGTCTTTTCTTAAAATAATATCGGTTGATATTGTGATACGATTCAAAAAATATAATTATCCAAAATATCGATGATCACGTTTTTAAATCAATATTTGATTTATATCAAGTTATTAAATAGTTTTTACTTTAGATTTTCTTATTCTACTTTTGTAAGTATATTTGAATGATATAAAAACACGTGAGAAAACAGATGCATATTTTATTTAGATAAAAATATGATTTTCCAAGAATATTAACTCGTTAGAAATTCAAGAAAAATATTATTGTTAAGAGGAACTCTGTCATCGACAACTGGCACATAACGAAGGAGTCACTGTCGTCTAAAATCCATTTGTTGGCAGAATGAAAACCTTTAAGCATAAAAAATAGCAAGATATCTGTTTGCAGCATCGCCTGTATTAGACATATTTATAAAAATTTGATTACAAAGAAAATATCAGTCCGATTCGAATGACGAAAACAATATATAATATTCTCATCCACATTGAATCGATGGCACGAAATCATAGGAGTTGAAAAAAGTGTTTGTCATTTTAAACGTGAAAATTATAATTATTTAACTGTCAGAAAATCTTCGTTCATTTTACGACGAGTTTGAATCATCTTCCTCAAAACTTAAAACATATACATACACACATGCCCCACAATCGTCTTACATACATATTTTAAATGTTCGTATAAAGTACATAGCATATTTTATTATTTCGTTTATATTGTAATACAGAAAATAGTTATAACTATTTTGATTCCATAGTTCACACAACATTCGCTAAAACTGCCGAGTATAATACCTAACATATCCAAAAGTATAAGATAAAGAAAACTGTTTTATAAGGAATAATATAGGTACTAATAATATTCATTATTATTGCGATCAAAGTAATATTGATTTGTTTATTATGGTTATTTTTTTTTGTTATTATTATTTTGACTGTATCACAGTGATTTAATAAAAAAAATAAATAATTTTCATCACTATAAAAAATTGTTGGTTTAAGTTACGAAAACTTGATTCTGTACAACGGTTAAATCGTTGATGACAAATTAAAAACAATAAACCAATTAACGAACTATCGAAAACGGTAAAAGGTCAAAACTGGTGTATTTTAAATTAAAAGACATATATTTTAAGCTCTTGAGTCTATGTTGAGAATACAATAAGTATTCATTGTTCCATTACCTAAAATATCTATTAAAAAATACATAAAAGCGCAATGTTTAAATTTGTAACATTTACAAATGGTTATAAATAAATAAATGATGTATATTTATTATTTGGTAATAGATTAAAAACATTTAGTAACATTTTGCTTTTTGCCAGTGGAAAAATATCTTTTTATTTATTTATGTATATTAATGTATTTCATCTTATAATTATGCGCTTAAGTGATAAAATTACTTTATAATAGTTGTTATTTAAAAAATAAAAAATAAAATTACGTTAAACACATAAAGCAGACTTATATTAAAAAGCAAATGCTAATGTAAAAAGTTAATAAACATTCCTTTTAAAACAAGACTTAAGTAACTTCTTTCTCCAAGTATACTTTTGGTTATTTGGATAAATCATATAAATTATTCAAATCCAAAAATAATTAATTTTTTTTCCAAGCATTTTTAATATACATTACCTATATAAGATAACAAAAATTGAATATTAAAAAAGATTTAATATTTTGGAATTTATTTTAAAATACCAAGAATATACTAGAAAATTATTTTATTTTTTTACTTCATTTTTAACTACACAATCTTAAAAAAAAAAAAATTAAAAATATAAAAGAAGATAAGAAAAAATATTATTTTGCGAAAAAAAACACTCTATTAACCTTAAAAATGTTTACGTATAAAAAACGTATTTTCTTAGTTGTAATTGGAAAACATATGAATACACTATGCTATTATAAAATCATCAAATTACCAACAAGGAAAAATTTAGCTATTAACGAATAAAATGTTTATAGCATAACGAGTCGTTTTACGGGTATATAACATTACCATATTAATATATGATATAAGTTTCACGTGTCAAGTGACTTAATAGTGTTCTAAAGACATTTTATTAATCGAATTAATCTTTTTTTTTTTTTTTAAGCTTGAACATAATATGCACACATCATAATTTTGGATGAATACGAATTAAATTGTTAATTCGGTCCTTTATTTTTTATATTCAACTATTCCAATAATTATTACATCGTATTATTATTTAGCAATATAATTGCTAGTTTCGCGCGTACAATATAAACTAATAATGTTTTCAATTATTTTTCAGAAATCGTCATAATGGTATTGTTTTGGATTTGCATGGTCATCCTCAGTTCATGTGCTCCAGGTAATGAACATAATGCTGTTACAGATTCTATTACATCTTATAATTCTTATAATTGTTCGTTTAAGCTCACTAAAATATATTTATAACTATAAGGAACTTAATTGACATTACAAATTAGATATCTCCTTCATCGAGTTTATTTAAGTTCTAGAGACCGGGTTCAGTAAAGAGATACATAGATGTGTTTGTTTATATAAATCACGATTAACTCACACATTTTAACTTTTCATCTAAAATGAACATTTATTAAAAATGTACTGCTTTATAAATTAGATTTACAGTGCTTAATTAAAATTTCCTATCAGCTGCATTATAACAGTCGTTTAATACTGATACACTTTTATAATACTCTCATTAAGGACATTTATTTTATATGTATTGAAAACGTTAATTTTTATTAAGTGTAAATAGAATTTTTGTATAGAATCACAGTATTAGATTTCAGGTACTGTATAGAATGTGATATTTTAATCATTTGATTTTGGAAGCCATAAAAGTCGAATGGAATTTAATAAAATCCTGTACGAAGGTAAAATAGTTAGGAAAATCCCTTGCAAAAATATAACCTCATCGAACTTTGTCTTTTGTTTACATATTACTTGCTGCTATGTTTGGTTTATAGATGAGCTTGACTCGTATTAGGTACGCTTCAAATAATAATATACTAATATCAAATATTAGTAGTACGATATTGATTAATATCAATTCATTATGTTGAGTATTAGCTATTTATATTACTTATTGAACTTTTAGTTTTAATTATTTCCTAATTATAAATATTAGCTACTTCATTGCCTAGTAATCTGTTATTTCTACAAAAAAAGATTCAAAGCAAAATTTGCTGGGGAAAGGAATTTAAAAAATCACCCAATATAATATTGTGTAAATTTATTTTTTCATATAACTAAAAGTTAAACTTCCCAAAGCCCCTTTGGTCTTTACGTTCATATCAATTATATGGGTATAGCACTTGTACGCATAATAAGACATGCCTACACATTTCTCTTGAAAATAAAAAAAATTTTTTCATTATATTTTTAAAACAAACGATTTTTACAGTAGAATAGATTAGCAAACACAATTGAAAATATATAATAAAGTAATATAAATTTAATTAAAATTAAAATTAGTAAATTAATAATACCCTTAAATAAATAAATAAATAAATAAATAAATAATTTATGCATAAAAATAAATAAATGATTAGCATTTATTGGCATTCCTTTATATTTTTTACTTTCAAAATATCTGATAATGCATTTTTAATTCAAATCTACTCGTATTTTAAAAATATAATAGTACTCTAAGCTAAGTATTTATTTATATATTTTTTTCATCATATTTATTAAGTATTTGTTTATTTATATATTAAATAATATTTTTTGTGGTACATTGCAATAAATGAAATCAAAACACATTTTTTTTAACAAATCTTTTGTAAAAACTTAAAAATGAATTATAATGTCATATATGTATTTTACATATTTCCCACCATTTCAGTTAGATAGTTAAATCCTAGATCGTATCACTTCAGTTTCACCCGTTCCTTGATTTCGCCAGACTGTGGAGTCTCACCTGTTATTTCTATATACGATTGAATTTTTTTTTTTATAATAGTTATTTAGCAAAAAATTGAAATGTGCAAATTAAAATAATTCTATAAAACTAAAAAGTTAGATTTTACATTTTATTAACGTTTATCTTTTCCGTATCAAAACAATAAGTAAATAATGACAAACACACACAACGATTTAGCGACTTGTTTGTGCGTACCATATAAATTTAAACGATTTTAAATTGAAAATTAATACATAATAAGTAATCATAATACAAAATCAATTAAGAATTAAGATTTTAGTCACATGTAGAAAATGGTTGTTCTAGAACATAACAATTTATTGTTTCATTAATGCTGCAAAAATAAAAGGCACGTTATTTTCTCGATTGGACTAACTCTAGAGCTACTTAATTACTTATGAACTATTATTTTCATTACAAAATTATTGTATTGTTTTATATTTTCTGGCATCCTAACCATCTGTTAAATCACGTGTTCAATGGTAATATAATAATTTATCAAGAAAAAAATAATGACACTTACAAAAACAAAAAATGTTTATTGTTTGAATCAAAATAAGAATATTTTAAATAGTTTAGGTGTTAAATAAAATATCTTTACAGGTATGATTATATTCAAGAACTTGGTCGAAATAATATTCAATAATAATTGTTAAATATTATTTTGACTTACTGCGATAGTAAATCACGATTATTGTATTTTACTGTTGCCGTAAATTTAAAAAAATAATGTTTCATCCTAAATTATTGATAAAGTGAATGCAATCTATCTGATCACATATTCTTAGATTATTACTAATGTGTTAAATATTTCACGATGAAGAAAACCTGATTAACGATTCGGAAATTTGCTTTGAAATTTAAATACAATCAAAGCAAAAAAGAAAAATATTAAGTAAAATGTTAGATTATCCTTCTTCAATCAAAATGTACATTGAACATTGTTTCAAAATTAATGTAATACATGGTTATTACAATTATTTTATGAAAATAAAATAATAAAACTGTAAAGCCTTCATTTGAAAATCAAAATTTTATATTAATTTAACGCACAAGAAAAGGAATTTTTTTTTAAAAATTAAAAAAACATCTTTCAATAATTTTCACGACTGAAAAGAGAATCAAATTAAATTATTATTATCTTTTGAAATATCCACAATCTCATGGTTTATAAATAACCCAATTTTATGTGAAAATCAAACATTCATAACAAATCAAACATCATGAAATTGTAAAACAAATAGTATTTAAAAAAAGTTTGAGTTTCTGTTTGTATATTACATTTACTTTTAAATTAAAAAGATCAATGATTGAAATTATACACGTTTTATATTCAATGGGGTTATAAAAGTACAATATTATTTTCATTGTTATTTTTTTTTATTTTTTTATCTCGTGCTATTTTTCATTACTTCAAATATTTAACAAAAATGGTTATCTAATTATTATTTTTAATTTAATACAAGCCCACATACACTACGGTCGACAGTTGATTTGCATCACTTCAATTTAAGTTTCGACATATTAATTAAAAACAATAAATAAATCTTATATTTATTTTCATAATTTATCAATTTTGCCGTTTCCACTGTCATAAAAAAAAAAAAAAAAAAAAAAATGTTAATATTGACTACATACTTAATCGATTTACATTTATACATATTTCAAATACGTACACTGTAATATTTTTATTAATTTATTAATTATATATTCAGACCTTATAACATTGGAATTGTTATACGCGTCTTATATTTATAATTAAACAGCATGTTTCAAAGCACACTAGTCATCAATTTAATATTGACAGGTAAAACCATTATTCATAAATTTAAGTATTGAAAAATTAGTGTGAGATTAACTAATCTATATGCATATTGTTAATGATATGTAAATAATAATTGTTGAGATATTATTATATCCTTATTAAAACCACATAAAAAAGAAAAAAATATTTAGATCGACTATCCCCGAAAACTATTTCAAACAGAATTTTAGATTCATACACTAATGAAAACATACGAATTGATCGTAAAATGTTTGTAATTTGATTAATAACTCTTTTTTATCTCAATACTCATTCGATCAACTAAAAATGAAAAAAAATTATATCCAAACTAGGACTATACTGTTTTTTTAAAGATAATTTGTTGTTTTGTATATTATATTCACAAAGAACTTAGACAAATTGAAAAATGCTCGAACTATTTTTCTTACTAATCCATCATTCACCCGTTTATATCATCACAATAATTTGTTTTCGTGCACGTTCTTTTTATTTTGCCAAATATTGGGTAAAATAATATATTTTCAAAATCAAAAAGTAATCAGTTTAACAAAGTGTCAGTTTACTTTTCCTATATTCACTGATTTAATGTGCGTAACTTTTAATTCAAACGATATTTATCAAATTCACTCTTAAACAATTATAAATAATTAATGTTTTCAGATTTCAACACATAAAAACATAACTCAAAAAATGTCTTATATATTATAAAAAAAAAAAAACCATATACTTAATACAACAACAAATTAACATGGCCCATGAGTTATGTAAATAAAAAGATAATAAATAATGAACTATATCACATTGCCATAAGACACAGTTGACATTTTAAAGAGGTGTTATAAAAAATAAATATAAATATTTTAGTAAAATTAATATTAATATTTACCAGATTAGAATTTAATATAGTTGAAATTTCTTGTTTGAGTTAAAATTAATATATTGCAATCATTTTTCTATATTGGGTTTTCTGTTTCGATAAATGCCAATATTGCTAGATTAGAAAATCGATCATGATTCAATGAATGTCGAGAGGCAATTGTTGGGTATAAAGGAAGAAATGTCCTTAATTCACCTTTCCCTCTTAATTACAGCTCTAGTTATTTGTCGATCAACTAAATAAGTATATAAAAATATTAAACACATATTCTAATAAATATTATAAAAGTAAAAATCTTCAAATTCGTAAATAGCATAAAAGAGAAAAAACGTAGACTGGAGTCAGATAGAAGAAACAAAAGTGGGTAAATATATTTTAATAATTTGAAAGTAACGATAAATTGTCGTAATTGAACAACTATAATAAAGAAACTTACGTATACTATATTAAAGTGTATCTAATGGTTAAAATAAAAGGTAATATAAGAACGTAGAGTAATTTTAAACTTAGATAAATAAATTCTTAAATTAAAATTGTAAATCCCAACAACCCAACAAACTCCACGTCTCAAAAATATATGGGTATTTCATTTATTTGATATATATTAAAATGATATTGCTTTTTAAAGTTATCATTTCAGCGACCAATGTAAAAAAATGTTTACTTATAAAATGTAGACATTTTAAAATTAAGAAAAAAAATAAAATTTCAACAAACAGAATTAAAAATCATATAAAAGTAGAAAGATACCTATATTAT